TCGATGTGGTTTGTGTAATTCATGGTCCCTGGTCCAAGTTTACGAATTGTGAGCATGGATCCTCGATGTAAATGATGTAATTCATGGTCCCTGGTTCAAGTTTACGTATTGTGAGCATGGGTGCTCGATGTTATTGGTGTAATTCATGGTCCCTGATCCAAGTTTACGTATTGTGAGCATGGGTCCTCGATGTGGTTTGTGTAATTCATGGTCCCTGGTCCAAGTTTACGTATTGTGAGCATGGGTCCTCGATGTAATTGATGTAATTCATGGTCCCTGGTCCAAGTTTAAGTATTGTGAGCATGGGTCCTCGATGTGATTGGTGTAATTCATGGTCCCTGGTCCAAGTTTAAGCGTTGTGAGCATAGGTCCTCGACGTGATTGGTGTAATTCATGGTCCCTGGTCCAAGTTTACGTATTGTGAGCATGGGTCCTCGATTTGGTTTGTGTAATTCATGGTCCCTGGTCCAAGTTTACGAATTGTGAGCATGGGTCCGGTGATTAGTGCAATGTATGGTTCATAGTTCAAGTGCACTGCACTGCAATGCCTGATCGTCCTGGCTGGTGTTATTACAAGATGATTTCTGTTTCAGGTTGACGTCTTGATGTCACTGACACTGAGTACACTGAAGTCGATGCCCGAACTGTTCCCACATGAAGTCGCGTCAGTTACACAAAGGCTCCGATTAATTGAACCGTTTCTTATTATACTTATTATTTCTCAATTATGACGGTATTTCGTTGCCATCAGCTGTTGGCCTATTTATTTATAGCTATTCACTGCACGCACTCCCACGTAATAGGCACGTCACTAAGAATGATTAAACACAAACAAGTCACTTCTTAAAAACTAATATATAAAAAAAGAAATGATTACGGAGCGCCACTACGTTAACACGCACGCGTGTTTTAAATATTCACTACTTTAAGTAACAAACCGATTCAATTAATAAATACGTACATATACACCTGTAGTAATAATATCACCTAATTAGTTCCGAGTCAGATAAAATAGTTCTGACCACAGTCCCTCTATAGAGAGACTGTGTTCTGACTAAACTAGCATGTTTTGTTTGTTTTGGGGCATTTTACTGTTGTTGCTCAAAATGTTGCTCGGTGCCTTCGGATGCTCACAATACAATGTATTACTTGATGAATGTCAACACATATTGGCATTATTTTTAATAAAGTTTTAAACATTTAACAAAATGAGTTTTCATTGAAAATGCAATGACATTCCGCTATGTTTTAAAGTGGCATTCAGCCTTCGTAATGTTGATAGAACTCGATATATAGAATCTATTGAGAGGTATTTGGGCTTGTGAAAATGGGTGGATAGCGAAAAAACAGTCTGTAACCAGTGGAATCACCAGCGGTACACAACTAACCGACGCCTTCCGATCGTTACCGATTCAACCCGCGTGTATGTATGGAGTTCAGTATTCCGAGTCCATTACATTATCAGCTAGTCCAAAACATGGATTTTAAAATGCCACAGTTGCCAGGCAGGCAGGGAATCGTGATTAACCACAGCGTGACGTCGGTTGTTCACGACTAGGTATTAAACAAATCATCCCAAATAAAAAACAAAACAACATACAAACTATAAGCTCGTCCTTTGTCTGCCAGCTTTTGTATCATCGTCAGAGTAGCAAGTCTAGTCTGAGGTGTGACCAACAAACGTCACGGTGACGACTTTTCGATACCTTTGTTACAATGGCTTTATCCGGTGAAATCCTTCGTTTAAAAGTTTGGGAATGGTCTTTGTTTGCGCGTGAGTAGATTTCATTAAATTATAATTCGAGAAACCGGAAGTATACGAACTCATAAAAAACAGGTTTTTATGATTTTTTTAAAATTTTTAACCAAATTTTATATAAAAATTAAATATAGGTTATGCTAGTTTATTTTGTGAAAGATGATAAAGGTATACTTCGGAAATCAAACGGTTGAATTGAAACAGTCGAGCGCGTTCGAATTTCGTGTAAACAAACAAATGTATTGTATACGTGTTGTAAACGTCGCATGTGAGCGACAAGTTTAAATTATGACCAATCGAACGTGAGAAGATGTTCCCGATAAATAAAACTAAGTTCGACAGGCAACTTCTTGGTACAAACTTTTGTTTGCGTGTCTAATGCACATAATGACGCGTCAATTTAAAAGGATTCAAAAAAAAAACAGATTTATATAATTACGTGTTTGTCTCGCCTTTGGCAGGACGCCTGGTAATTGTGGCTAGCATCCAAAAAAGAATGGAAACAACAAAACCCTTTTAATAGAGGGCCATTAAAAGTAATCACGGCCAAACAAATAAAAACGGGTTTGGGGCGCAGAATCAACAAAACTAGATAATTATGGTAATACAGTTTTTACAATCCAACTGTATAAGTAAACATTAGTAGACTTAACGTAATCGGGTGGGAAAGTCGCGATAAATGCCGCTCATTAAGCATTGTCTTAGATGCGCACAGGTAATATAAACATGGATTTTGTTTTTAGTGTTAGTATTTTCACGGCTTCATTGAACGTCTATAGAAGTGAAAATAAAGTGTTAAAAACAACAACATTTAAACAAAAGAAGCTAATTGTGAATACACGGCCTTCAAGTAGAACTCAGTTGGCCTCACTGTAAATTAAATATTTAATTTGTACTTAGAAGTATAAGAAAGGGTATGTGCTTCATCCAAGTCCGAGTTGAGTCGGAAAATGGTACGAAAAACTAATAAATGCAGTTACTTTGACTGGGTTCTGACAAATCAGCATTTATCGTGACGGAAATATATCAACAGCGATTGGGTCATGGGTTATTTAGTTAGACGCTTTATTACAATTTGGAAACAAACAAGCATGTTAACAAGACTAGAAGTTATCGTGGTGTTTCGAAATTGCTCTATTTAGACCAATTTTATTCTTTACACTTGTCAGTTGTAGTCGGGGTACTGGTTATGTTTGTATGTTAAATTGTTAGGTAGTCTTGCACGAACATCCTTTACATGGTTAAATTTTGACAATGTGAACTGAAACCAGTCTACATCTACAGTACCTCGTGAGAACGAAGCCCGGGGGGCAGGGTGGAGCAACCTAAGACCGCACTAGCAGAAGATC